CATGGCCCACCCATGTAGGGCCATGACAAAGCCAGTCCTGATGTCCCCGGTACTCTCTCTGGGCTGCTAGGAGCCCCTTCCTCTTCTCCACCTACGTCTTTCCCGAAATAACCAAACAGGAAGGAAGCGGTGGGCCTGGGCCCTCCAGAGTCACCCTAGAGGAAGGAAGGGCTCGTCTGGCACAGGCACTTGTCCTCACTGAAGCCAGGACGGAAGGGTTTCACTTTCCCTCCTGGTTTTCGTCATATCCTTTTCCTGTGGCACCCAATTCTCCTCAGCTGGCTGGGGGCCAGAGCTCATTCAGCTGGTGGCCTCAGGCCACCTTCCCCCTTCTATAGGACTCAGGACTATAGCTCCAACACAGAATGTGAGGTTTGCTTCTGTACATGCTGGGACTTGAAACTGGCTTCCTCACTTACTTACTTTGGGCAGGTCTCGATATCTCTGAGCTTCAGTTTACCTGGATTAGATTGAGGACCTCCTTCAGTAACAGAAGTGCATGCACCTAGCCCACGATGGAGCCAGATTGTTGGTGCAGGCAACCCAGCCAGGTCACCACATTCACTTAGAATGTTACCTTCTGTGTTCCAGGTACATGACCAGGTTCTGGAGATACAAGTGACAAAACCACACACAGTCTAGTGGGAGAGACAGGACAAAAGATAATCACTCAAGGGACCATGATTGTGCATATAATCAGCGAATATGGCCCAGTCAGGGTAAAGTACTTTAGCTCAGTGCCTGGCACATAAGTTATTATTTTATTGTTATTTAACATGTGAGGACACTAGAAGTCAGGTGAAGTAACCTACTCAAAGTTAGACAGCTGGGAAGAAGCGTAGAAATGCGGGAGGTGAGAGAGAAGAGTGGGAATTAGAGGACTGATCAGTTCAAGCAGGGACTGCACTGCAGCCCGACAGGATGGGTGGTACGCTGGCACTTGGGCCACTGCCCCAGGGAGATCGTTATGCCAGCCTTTTTCCTGACCTCTCCAAGATTGCAGATGGCTGCAAGGTGACCTGCATTATTCAGCTGGCTGCCTCTGGGCAGAGATCTAGCTGAAGTCAGTATATACCTGTCTGAATCGGCCCCTGGCGTCATCACACTTGACCCCTGAGCCCCCCAAATGGATGAGGGAGACTGACACAGACAGAAGGCCTCAACCTAGGGACACCCTGTCTCTCTTTCCCACCTCAGGGCCTTTGCACTTGTTGCTTCTACTGGAACATGCTTTCTCACCCAAGATTATTGATCCTCCCTTGGCCACCTCCACCTTGTCACTCAGGTCTCAGCTCAAACTTCACTTCCCCAGAGAGAACTTCTGAAATTATTTTGTTTCTTATTTTCTCTGCTTACCACTAGGATGGTGTTTTCTCCACATTTTTTCTTTATCTCCACCCCCTAAGGAGTCTTTTTAGACATTTTTTACCTAATTGCCCTCCTATGACATTTGAATACCACAACTGTACTGTGTAGCTCTGCGTGTGCTGTGGCCCCATGGCGAACCATAGGCCACTGTAATATCCAAGAGTTTTTCACTTCACCCCACTGGAGGTGATACCACCCTCACCAAGCATGCATGGACTAGAACACAAGCTCCATGAAAGCAGGAACCTTGTCTTGCTCACTGCTTTGTCTCCAGTGCTGGGCTTGGAGGATGGTCAGTGCTCAGTAAATATTTATGGTGGGAATTAAAGCCCATAAGCCCTGGGCGCACAAGGAGACACTCTTCCTGGATTTGAACGAGGAACTAGTAAGGATGGTCTCTTGGAAGAAGAGACTGCATAGTGGAGTTTCGTAAGCTCAGTAGGGCTTGGCTAACTGAGGAAGGGAGATGTAGGAAGGGTGACCAGCTAGAGGACACTGTGCTGGCAAAGGCACAGGGACAGGAAGCAAGGTGGAGCATGTGGGGTGGAGCCATTCCTTGTATGTGGCCAGGACTATGGGAGGCAGGACCTTGAAAGTAGATCCAGCCTTGACTTCTCCTGGGGACCCTGGTTTTTGTCTCACCATTCTGAAGGGCCCTGGTGCCAAGTTGGGAGACCCCAATTCCTAGTCCAAGCTCTACCACAAACTATCTGTGTGACACCGTAGAATGGGCAAGTGGGTTGGCCTTACTGACTGTGAGGTCTGCCTGGCTAGGAGTCCACAATTCTCCCATGGGGGTCATTAGCCACTGTCTCTCTGCACTGGTTCTGAAAACCTCCACCTGGATCCCCATGATAGCAGTAACAGCTGCAAAGAGACACTTTCCTCATTTGCTCTCACCTAAGCTAAGGATGCAGTCTCCCAGGCCTGGGTCTCCTGAAAGCCTTTGTGACCTCAGAGAGCTAGCTCCCTGAAACTCACTCTCATATCTCACCTCCCTGCCCACCATGCCAGCTCTGGCTAAAACCAATGGGAGCCACTGAGGAGCGGGCGGCCGGGGGGTGGGGGTGGGGGTGGGGGTTATATCTCTGCTTTTCCAAACCGGGCTGCGCTGCAATCC